CCCCCAGTGTCACTGTCTCTCTCCTCCTTCAGCAACTTAACCCCCACCCCCGCCCCCCTAGTCGTTCTGTGTCCCTAACACCACCAAAAAAACTTGCCTTTCCCCTCCGGCAGCCGTGCTGCTCTCCTGCCTTGCTCCTCAGCTCCTGCCGGGTAAAAAAAAAAAGCCTCCGCCCCGGGAAAAAAAAAATTGCTGGACGCATATACTCGGGAAGGTACCAATTGCACAGGGGGGCCCGGGACCTTACCAATTCGACTGTACATAGTAATCTATACTAAAAAATTCTTGCTTGGGGCCTGGGCCCCTCACAATAGTACTGGCCGTACCCCCCTGGTGGCAGCCCTGGCTGGGGATTCGGATTTTTAGTCCCCTGTCCCCATTCACTTGCTTGACCCACACTTTAAGAAGCTGTGATTTAGGCAATAGTCCATTAAAGCAACATTAAACCTTACAGATTTTTTTTTTAATTATTATTTCCTTCTCTATGGGGGCCAGAATTGCTTAAAAAAAGTTTTTATTTATTTTATTTCCTTGTTCTTTATTGGTATCCAGACCACACCTGTACGTGCATGGTCACAGCCGTGCCTGCACCTAGTTGTGTGCGTCCATAGATGCAGCCAGCCATGCCCCCACCCTTGCACTCACAGCTTGATTGACGGCAGAAGAAGCCTATGGCTCCTCTGCCCCTTGGTACCCTCTCACAACCAGGAAGTTCAGGGAAACCCGAGTAACTTACCGGCCACGGAGGAGGAGACGAGAGGCTACATGTAAGTGTGGGGGGGATGGTAGGAACGTGCTGGATGTTTTTTGCCCTAATGCAAAGAATGCATGAAGTCAAAAAACACCCAGCCCTTAATACTACTTGCTACCAGCAGGTCTTTGGGGTGTGGGAGGAAGCTGGAGTGCCCAGAGGAAACTCAGTGCAAATAGTGTCCTGGCTAGGATCACTTGAAAGTAAGCAGAAGTAAATATGTTTCTCTCTTGCCAAAACCTTAAACTGGGGTGTAAGTTTAATTGATCTCAGGCAGTTGAAACCTACACACACATTTCTGATGCACAGAGCTACTATGAATCCAATTCCCTTATAATAGGGAGTACTCACCAGCTATGATAAAATTGCCCCCGTCTTTAATGACCACCACCTCGCATAGTTGGCTCTGCTGCTCATGCAGCTACTGCACAGGTGGACCACAGAGATATGGATCGTGAAGGGGTTAAAGGATTAAGTTCTAAAACTATTTTTTTTTCATTTTTTTTAGGTTTTGAAATGTAAGATTTTCTTCATTGCTTTTACTTTCCTATGCTTTAAGAGTTGTCATTACACGTTCAGATCAGTGTAAACATTTCTTTCTTTATACTCGGCTTGTCTGCAGTTACTCTGTTCCTGTAAACAAGAACTACGAATAAGGAAGGGATTGCATTAATTTACCTGTAGCGGCTCATTGTAATGGCCACAACAAGTATGCAGACCTGCAAATTCAGGCATAGAGCTCAGTTAAAAATTAAACCAGCTAATGTCTTTAATATTGTCTTTAAAAATCTAAAAAAAAAAAAAAGAAGCATGTAGTAATCCACCAATAAATAAATCGTGCATTTAAATTCTGCTTCTTTACAGTCATTACATGCGGCAAATACTGGAAGCTCTCCGCTACTGTCATGATAACAACATCATTCATAGAGATGTAAAGGTAAGATATAAATCCTGTTAATAAAGTTACACCTTGTTCACGTTATCGCTTCTCCACAAAAATAGATTCAATATGTTTGATTAAATCATGGCTATTAAATTTTAGGCACAGTTGCAAGCAAGGCCAAATGTCTGTTTTAGAGTACCTTCAGGCTGATGCAAGTCTGTAACTAGCTTTTGACCAATGCCTGGGTACTGTATATACTAGGGATGCACCAATACCGTTTTATCGGTATAGATTAAGAGTACCGATTTTTTTTTTTTTTTTTTCCCGGTACTCGCCAATTTCGGAAGTACCGTTAAGGAAGCCGGGCGGCGTGCAATGATTCGCCACCTGGCTTCCTGATTAGCCCGGAATGGTTGAAGTGTGTGGCAGGGCCAAAACACATGTAACATGTCTCCCTCAGGCCTTGTTCACACCAAGCGCGTTCCAGGAGCAGAGCAGTTACAGACCGGGTCAAAACTGCGTCCAATGTATTCCAATGGTATTTTGGGCTCTAGTTCACACCACAGCGTTCAGTTCCAGAGCCTGTAAAAAAAAAACGGCAGCAAGCCCTATTTTACCTGCTCTGGAACGCATGAAAAACGCCCTGGAACGCACTAAAAGCCCATTCTAAACAAAAAAAAAATTTCAGCAAAAACACTGCACAACCCACTGCACTGCGTGTGCAGAAACTCATACAGATCTGGTCTGCATTTGGTGTGAACAAGTACTCAGGCTGTCCACATCCCCAACACACCAGCGGAGTTGATGGGAATAGATTACGTTTTTTTGTTTTGTTTTTTTACACTGAGTGCCGGGTAGAGAACTTAGAATTGATACTAAAGTAGATCTGATATGATGAAAATGTCTGGCTAAACTACAGAGGACAGAGTGGTTAGCTGGAAAATTCATGTTAAAAGTTCATCTCCTGCACTGATGCCCCCTATTCCCTGAACTTGTATCCATAGTAGTGTGCCGTTTATGCTGACAGTTTTGTTCTGCTACTGGTTCTTCATTTAGGCATCCTGTATGTTGAGATCAATGACTGTATTGTCACAGAAGACATAGCTAGAAGCCACAGCGAGCTGTTGCCGGGGGGCCCCAGCAAAATATTTGCAGTGAGGCACCATTATTTGGAGTTGGGGCCCCTGCAGTCACTAAAATCTCATATTATTGTTAACATATTAATGTAAGAAATGTTTGCTATTTTTAAATCTACAGCTTTCATTAAAATACTTAGTGATCCTGCTGTGAAGGCTCTTGTGCAGACACTTCCTGCTATATGTGACAAAGTTTTGTCTCCCATCTGTGCTCTTGCTTTATCCTGCCACACGGGCTTGCAGTGGGAACTACAGGTGGCTGTTTCAACATGTATTATGCAGGCATGGACCATTGTTGTCATCTTCAGGAAGCCTGCCCAGTGTATTGCCATGCACCTATCGCAGGAGCGCATGTATGTATACAGGAAGTGGCTGCAAAGAGGCCACAGGATATCAGCAACACTGAGATACATAAAAACATGACAAAAGGTGAAAGCAAGTAGTTTATTAACAACATAATTTCTTTATTATACACAATACCTTGGCAAACTAAATGTCAGTTAGGGATTACTTGTAACAACTTCTCATGCTTCAGTAACCTATTTTCCCCCTGAAAGCATCAATGCCAAATTAAAAGAAAAAAACTTTATAGATTTATCTTTCAAGGGTTCACCAATTGAAATCTGGATCTTTAAAGTGTATATCACATTTGCACTCTAAATTGAGAAAACCTCTCTATAGGTTTGTGTTTCCATTCACACAACATACCTAAAAATAATTTTGTAAAAATATTTCTTATCTTTCTGGATGTTTGGAGCAGGTCTTTGTGCAGACTGCAAGCTATTTTGCACAATTTGAAAGTGAAGAGGAACAAAGTGGGGACAGACTGTTTCTTCAAATTACATCCAATTCCATAACACAAGCCCTGAGGTCATTAACCCTTTGTTTAGGACAGAAGAGTGTTTAAATCTAGTTTGCAGCTGATAATGAGATCTGCCAGTGCAGTTCAAACAGGGCTGTTGTTGTAAACATTCCCTCCTCAACATTACATAGCAAGGGGAAACTTTTAAAGTGGACCTTTAACCCCTTCGAATAAAAATCAGCATACACCTCTGCGTGCTGATATGAAATCATCTTACATTCATTGGCTAAACAAACATATTTTTATTTTACTTAGAATTACTTTACACTTCCTGATCTACTTTGGCACAAGTTATGTAATCGTGCCCAAGCATTGAAACCTGGGAAGGTTACATCAGCAGAGCCTTGCTGATAAATATCATCTGTAATATCATGAGATCTCAGGGATAGGCATTTTCCTCCCTTAAAAAGATGTGCATGATCACATGTCCTAGTCACATGCCAGAGTTTCAGGAAGTAAAGGGAGATCTAGTAATCTGCCCTTAGTAAAAATGGCCACTCCCAGAAGAATGGAGAGGAAAAGAAAAATAAGTTAAGTAAAAAAATAAAATGTCTAAAGATGTCTTGTTATTTTGAAGACATGGGTAACGTTCCTCTTTAAGTTATGCTATGTAAATGGAAGCATGTAACAAATATAACCTACAAAAAGACACTTAAAAACAAAGCTTAAAAGGAACTACCCTGCTTTTCCTTCCTTTTTGCTAGTTGCAGCTCCTGCTCTGCACCACAGCCTTTAAAATGTAGTAGCGGGTTCCAACCTAATTCTGGTAGAAGTCAACCATTTGTGTTTCAAATGATACACAATGAATAATGAACTTTGGTACTATTATTTATATAAAACATATGCCTGTTGCATGGGTTTTTACATGCACTTCATTTCTGGTTGTAGCATGCACTTTGATTTATCAAATTGGATTGCTGTCCACAACATCCAGAAACAGCAATACCACAAATGTCTTTTTCTGCAGGAGGTCCAACAATTTATGGAACAATGTATTTTTATTTCTTGCAAACAGCAGTTCAGCAAAAAGCAGTGACAGAAAAATAGCTATTGATATTGTGCAATCATTACTATTTTTGGATTTTGCCTTAACATTTCATACAGGTTTTGCCTAAAAAAAAGGATGTGATCATCATATTTAAATGTAAAACGCCAATTTAAATTTTGTTTATTGAAGTATTTACACACTGTTGCATTGTGTGCTTGCGTATGTTCACCTGATTAGAGCAGGCAGGCATTTTGTTTCCTTGACCCTCAGTTATTGCATGTAGGAAATAAATATCCAGTTGTGTTTTGTTCTGCTTTTTTTTTTTTTTAAGTCTTATTAATTATGACAGATTTACGTAACTTCACATTAAAAGCAGTTTCTTGTTAAGAATATTTAAATAGCTTAACATCCAAATTCTGGCCACAGGTGCACTTTAACTGGAACTCCGAATAATTTATAAATAGTGTATCCGTTATATAACTGCATTTTAACATGTTTCAGCTACAGCTATATGTTGTGTGTATATTTTTCCCAGTAAAAGTTGGGAATTGTGTATTCGAAAGTCCTTTTGCATTTGAGTCTGTAGAGTGCTTTCCAAAGAAACGTTGGATAGTCTTCTGAAAAGCCTCATCTAAACAAAAATAAACTATGGGATCAGTACAACTTCTGAATTCAGCTAGGCACAGGCAGCAATTTTTGATTTCTACCAGCACTGTCCGTGCTTGGCATCCTTGCGAGTGGTATTGTCCCACAAGGAACAATTTTACGAGATGGTAAGGAGCAAAAGTGACTAGCAGTAAAACCACGATGACAATAATATTTTTTTTCACTCTTTTGTGGACTAAGTGCTTTTCTCCAATACAGCTGTTGGCCTGTAGCATTTTTATATGCTTTATAAAGAACCCATAAAAGAGTAATACAATGAAGAAAAACAAGAAGAAACATGTCGACTCAGTAACTGAAGAGATCGTTGAGTTTTCTCCACCAAATTCAGCCTCATAGGAGCAGCATGTGCCTGGTTTCAAATCATTTTTTAATAAAGACAGTGTAATAGTTGGGCACAAAAAAGTGATCCACAGACAAGCACACAGATAACCAGCAATTTTAGGGTTCCGAAAAGTTTTTAGAATTTTACCAAATATGATCTTTTCATATGTAGATGCAGAGCTGTCTTGCGGTTGCTCTTTGTACCGCACAAGAGTAGCGTAGCGGCTGATGGCAATCCAGCAGAAAATGGTGATACTAACACACATACTGCAGTGTGTGAGAATGTTTGTGGTGTGCAGTACTATGGAACATTCTGTAGACTTGTATGGGAAATAGATGGCGTATGCATAAAAAAAAATCTGAAAAGGCATGCTAGCAGTCACAACTATATTGGAAATGGCAAGGTTTATAAGATAAATATGCGTTGATGATTTGCGGCTTAGTCGTCTAATAAAAATCCAGAGGGAGATTAGGTTTCCGACAGCGCTTGGTAAAAACATCAGTCCATAAAGTACAGGGAGACCAGTGGTGGACATTGCACTGAAAGAGACGCATGTATCGTTGCACATTGTTCCCAGGGGCTACCTAAAGGGAGGGGGGGAAAAAAAACTCCCTGTAAAAATGCAGTGATTGAGATATAGATTTATTGCTTCTGCTTCACTCTCGAAAGCTTGTCTTTTATATATTTTGTTAGTCCAATAAGAAAGGTATCATTGCACACTGCAATACTAAGTTTTTTGGGCTTTTTTTGATGATATAT